TTTATTGTTTTCTCAAAAACGATGATCTTGAGAAGTTTTCAAAGTTTTATGCTGGTTTGGTTCCAGCAAGAAAATTCATTTTTTTTCGGAATTTACTGTTAACCCCAAATTTACTGTTGATTAATTTAACCATAACATAATGGTCCTTTTCATGTTTATGCTATTGAAATAAGATAACTTCGTATGATTGTCCGCCACCTAACATGATCCAGCCATAACTCAAAATCACGCGATTTACTGGATTAAAAATTGAGCTTACGCGCCATGAAATTCAAATCTTATTCTTTTAAACTCAGTAACACTGCTATGTTTCATTGTAAACGTAATAGGTTGATGCATAATGTCGCTATTTCTAGATCTAATTGTTGAACAACTTTCCATCAAACTTTCTTTCTCGATAAAGATTTTGCAAATCATTGAAAAGCTTTCTTAGCTCATGTTCTTTCTCAAAGTGGTGTAAAACGGCTTCTATCTCCATCTGTGAGAATCTCACCACAATTTGCACAGCCGCACTCAAAAGCTGAACATTGTATCCATTTTTTTGGCTACAGTCCAGGCGCAACTGAACGGATTTTTTGAAAACTTTACTGTTTGGGATGAACATTGATTACCTATTGCATGCGCAAAGGCAGTGTCCCGGCAGATTGAAGTTGTGGAAAAAATGGCCACAAGGGTAGGTAGACTTACCTCCTGGCTCTCTGGCAAGTTCGCACCAGATTCTGCTAGGCGTCCGCAGAGAATAAGTTCTGTGACGCACAAGCATCAGTTTGGCTCGCGCTGTACGACTTCAGTGACTCAATCTGCACGGGACCCACACTACTCACGCAATCCACAGGGTAGAGGAACGAACACCTCAATTATCCACCGCCTACGGGGACTACTGGTCCCTTCGTCCTCTGTTGTGCATCGTGTTAGGACCAGTAGGCAGCGGAGGCGGTGCCTATTTGAGTGTTCGTTCCTCTACCCCAATCCACATGCTATTCAGTGCATGAGTTACCGGCGCCAAGGTTTCCGTACCGAGATCTTTGCACTTCGAAGCTAAGCTCGTCGAGCTTCTTTTTCGAAAGTGTGAAAACGCTTTAAATCAGGCCCTTTCACGCGCTCGGAAGGTCGTATTCGGGAACGGGGTGGAAAGGCTCGGATAACGCAAGAAATAGATTTCCAAAATCTGCCAGATACTGCCTTCAAATAGATTTTTCGAAAATACCTGAACTGAATCGAGGTTCTAAAATAGATATTCGCTGCTGCACTCTGTGAGTCATTTCTCATTATTGAGGAAATCACCAAAGCTTCGCTCATACTAAAAGCTTAAGCACAGGACATTTGGCCCACAATTTTCGTAGAAAAACACTTAGCTATTCGGTGCATAAAAAAATTCCACATTTTCACAAGGGATTTTGAGGCCTATCACAAAATAGATGCAAATTATCTTTTCTTTTCGCAGAATTCCTTAGGTGAGGTATTCTGTACACACGTACACTGCTGGCTTGCGGCTACAAAATAAGCTGATCAGCAGCCATAGGAAGTGTAATTTCTTGATAACTAAGGTTTTTAAAAGATTAGTTTCGGTTTTTGACTCGTTTACTGCTTCTGATGGCTTTGACTACATTCAGAAAAATGAAGACTGGACAAAATTATAGCTTTTTAACGTTGAACTTTTCAAATCACAGACATTGTCTTTGCACCATTAATATTTTGGAATCACTTTATATTGTTTCGC